ATCCCTATCTCTCACAATATCATCTCCCCCCTCTCAATCTTTTAATTATGTCTTCCTACGCATCATCGATTGAGTAAATTATTCTTTAAACAATTATTCACTCCTGGCACTTCAATTATCACTGCAACGACCGAAATTCCAGTATTTGGTCTTAATGTAGAACTAACAAACGAATGTTGGTTCGATCAGGCCAAACTACGCTTTTCAGTGTAGCTAACAAAGCGTTTTTGAGTGAATCATATTAAGTTATATGAAAACATAATTTCTCACTCTACACCTTCCTGACTTAATGAATAAAACCAATTACGTAAAAATACTAAATGCCTCAAACAGTGCAGCCAATGTTATACGGTCAAATGTTTCTCCGTCACAAAATAGCGTGATAAATGGCGAAAAGAATGATGGGAACATAAATGTTTGGCGCCTAAAAGTCGGTGAGTATTCCCAACAAGATGGTATCTATTACCCGTCCATAAGGGTTCGAGTAACGTCACCGGCATTCAATCAAAGTTAAGCAGTCAGCAACTGAACCAAGTCGTAACCACAACCTTATCGCCAATGGTCAGGCAACGTGCAACACCGAAGTTGAATAATAAATGTAAACGTCTGACCAGAGTCTAAGAATAGAGGTATGGAGCAAGAGGACCTCAGAACACCTAACATGGTCACGGTAGACGTGAGTAAAATTTAAAATACCAAACAGGCGAAATGGACAATCAAATAATAATATGGTTCAATGAAATACTTTGAAGAGAACTTCAGAGTATTCTTTCCATTATTATTATTCTCCCTTTGCAACCAAAAGTGTCCAGAAACCCTACTACCCTGGGAAAAATGCACTCACTCAAATACAAGGCAAATGGCTCCACTAATATTAGTGCAGTTGATTTGCTGGACTGTCACTCAATGGACATAACCAAATACCTGGAACCGTAATAAAACCACAAGAAGCGAGTGCAAAAATATAAAAGATATTGTATATTGAATTATTTTATAACTAGGGGCGTTTCGTGATTGGCTGGTGCGTCACTTTGGGTCAACGCCCCAGGGGTATCACGGCACTTTTTGCGTTACTTTTTCATTTCTGCTTTTTGCACAGGTTAGATCCGTCCGTAGACCAAATGTCAGAAGGAAGATTTATTCATTGGATATCTCGTGGTATCGAGAGAATACTGAGATCGTGCCAAAGCTTGCAAGCGTGACTACTGAGCGCACACGAGTTCGTGCAAGGCCACGGACAACGGGAGAATGTGTGTTTTTGGTACACTTAAACAAGCAGGTGCAGTAAAATAACCACTGGTACAATTGGTTATAATAATAATTGTTTCCATTAAACCAACCGCATTCTCTTCATAAAAGTAGGTCACTGCACATGGAAAACGCGTACTCGCACGTGAATTGACATCTACCTCTTGGATTAGCTTAGTTTGATGCATGTCTTATAAATTACTAAGGCTATCATAAATACATAACCAGCAACTAATCCCTATCTCTCACAATATCATCTCCCCCCTCTCAATCTTTTAATTATGTCTTCCTACGCATCATCGATTGAGTAAATTATTCTTTAAACAATTATTCACTCCTGGCACTTCAATTATCACTGCAACGACCGAAATTCCAGTATTTGGTCTTAATGTAGAACTAACAAACGAATGTTGGTTCGATCAGGCCAAACTACGCTTTTCAGTGTAGCTAACAAAGCGTTTTTGAGTGAATCATATTAAGTTATATGAAAACATAATTTCTCACTCTACACCTTCCTGACTTAATGAATAAAACCAATTACGTAAAAATACTAAATGCCTCAAACAGTGCAGCCAATGTTATACGGTCAAATGTTTCTCCATCACAAAATAGCGTGATAAATGGCGAAAAGAATGATGGGAACATAAATGTTTGGCGCCTAAAAGTCGGTGAGTATTCCCAACAAGATGGTATCTATTACCCGTCCATAAGGGTTCGAGTAACGTCACCGGCATTCAATCAAAGTTAAGCAGTCAGCAACTGAACCAAGTCGTAACCACAACCTTATCGCCAATGGTCAGGCAACGTGCAACACCGAAGTTGAATAATAAATGTAAACGTCTGACCAGAGTCTAAGAATAGAGGTATGGAGCAAGAGGACCTCAGAACACCTAACATGGTCACGGTAGACGTGAGTAAAATTTAAAATACCAAACAGGCGAAATGGACAATCAAATAATAATATGGTTCAATGAAATACTTTGAAGAGAACTTCAGAGTATTCTTTCCATTATTATTATTCTCCCTTTGCAACCAAAAGTGTCCAGAAACCCTACTACCCTGGGAAAAATGCACTCACTCAAATACAAGGCAAATGGCTCCACTAATATTAGTGCAGTTGATTTGCTGGACTGTCACTCAATGGACATAACCAAATACCTGGAACCGTAATAAAACCACAAGAAGCGAGTGCAAAAATATAAAAGATATTGTATATTGAATTATTTTATAACTAGGGGCGTTTCGTGATTGGCTGGTGCGTCACTTTGGGTCAACGCCCCAGGGGTATCACGGCACTTTTTGCGTTACTTTTTCATTTCTGCTTTTTGCACAGGTTAGATCCGTCCGTAGACCAAATGTCAGAAGGAAGATTTATTCATTGGATATCTCGTGGTATCGAGAGAATACTGAGATCGTGCCAAAGCTTGCAAGCGTGACTACTGAGCGCACACGAGTTCGTGCAAGGCCACGGACAACGGGAGAATGTGTGTTTTTGGTACACTTAAACAAGCAGGTGCAGTAAAATAACCACTGGTACAATTGGTTATAATAATAATTGTTTCCATTAAACCAACCGCATTCTCTTCATAAAAGTAGGTCACTGCACATGGAAAACGCGTACTCGCACGTGAATTGACATCTACCTCTTGGATTAGCTTAGTTTGATGCATGTCTTATAAATTACTAAGGCTATCATAAATACATAACCAGCAACTAATCCCTATCTCTCACAATATCATCTCCCCCCTCTCAATCTTTTAATTATGTCTTCCTACGCATCATCGATTGAGTAAATTATTCTTTAAACAATTATTCACTCCTGGCACTTCAATTATCACTGCAACGACCGAAATTCCAGTATTTGGTCTTAATGTAGAACTAACAAACGAATGTTGGTTCGATCAGGCCAAACTACGCTTTTCAGTGTAGCTAACAAAGCGTTTTTGAGTGAATCATATTAAGTTATATGAAAACATAATTTCTCACTCTACACCTTCCTGACTTAATGAATAAAACCAATTACGCAAAAATACTAAATGCCTCAAACAGTGCAGCCAATGTTATACGGTCAAATGTTTCTCCATCACAAAATAGCGTGATAAATGGCGAAAAGAATGATGGGAACATAAATGTTTGGCGCCTAAAAGTCGGTGAGTATTCCCAACAAGATGGTATCTATTACCCGTCCATAAGGGTTCGAGTAACGTCACCGGCATTCAATCAAAGTTAAGCAGTCAGCAACTGAACCAAGTCGTAACCACAACCTTATCGCCAATGGTCAGGCAACGTGCAACACCGAAGTTGAATAATAAATGTAAACGTCTGACCAGAGTCTAAGAATAGAGGTATGGAGCAAGAGGACCTCAGAACACCTAACATGGTCACGGTAGACGTGAGTAAAATTTAAAATACCAAACAGGCGAAATGGACAATCAAATAATAATATGGTTCAATGAAATACTTTGAAGAGAACTTCAGAGTATTCTTTCCATTATTATTATTCTCCCTTTGCAACCAAAAGTGTCCAGAAACCCTACTACCCTGGGAAAAATGCACTCACTCAAATACAAGGCAAATGGCTCCACTAATATTAGTGCAGTTGATTTGCTGGACTGTCACTCAATGGACATAACCAAATACCTGGAACCGTAATAAAACCACAAGAAGCGAGTGCAAAAATATAAAAGATATTGTATATTGAATTATTTTATAACTAGGGGCGTTTCGTGATTGGCTGGTGCGTCACTTTGGGTCAACGCCCCAGGGGTATCACGGCACTTTTTGCGTTACTTTTTCATTTCTGCTTTTTGCACAGGTTAGATCCGTCCGTAGACCAAATGTCAGAAGGAAGATTTATTCATTGGATATCTCGTGGTATCGAGAGAATACTGAGATCGTGCCAAAGCTTGCAAGCGTGACTACTGAGCGCACACGAGTTCGTGCAAGGCCACGGACAACGGGAGAATGTGTGTTTTTGGTACACTTAAACAAGCAGGTGCAGTAAAATAACCACTGGTACAATTGGTTATAATAATAATTGTTTCCATTAAACCAACCGCATTCTCTTCATAAAAGTAGGTCACTGCACATGGAAAACGCGTACTCGCACGTGAATTGACATCTACCTCTTGGATTAGCTTAGTTTGATGCATGTCTTATAAATTACTAAGGCTATCATAAATACATAACCAGCAACTAATCCCTATCTCTCACAATATCATCTCCCCCCTCTCAATCTTTTAATTATGTCTTCCTACGCATCATCGATTGAGTAAATTATTCTTTAAACAATTATTCACTCCTGGCACTTCAATTATCACTGCAACGACCGAAATTCCAGTATTTGGTCTTAATGTAGAACTAACAAACGAATGTTGGTTCGATCAGGCCAAACTACGCTTTTCAGTGTAGCTAGCAAAGCGTTTTTGGGTGAATCATATTAAGTTATATGAAAACATAATTTCTCACTCTACACCTTCCTGACTTAATGAATAAAACCAATTACGTAAAAATACTAAATGCCTCAAACAGTGCAGCCAATGTTATACGGTCAAATGTTTCTCCATCACAAAATAGCGTGATAAATGGCGAAAAGAATGATGGGAACATAAATGTTTGGCGCCTAAAAGTCGGTGAGTATTCCCAACAAGATGGTATCTATTACCCGTCCATAAGGGTTCGAGTAACGTCACCGGCATTCAATCAAAGTTAAGCAGTCAGCAACTGAACCAAGTCGTAACCACAACCTTATCGCCAATAATAATATATTTCTGCATGTGCAGTTACACACCGTTTTTACAGGCATGATCTATAAATTACAATATTTGTTGGTTCGCAAAGTGCTTCCCAACTTATTAAGTTTATAGTTGTTATAAAGTGAGATCGTAGAGCGCTTGCTGTAAACTATGACCTTGAGAGGACGCGTACGTTACGTTTGCTCCAAACGTCAGAAGTTTCATAGTTGTGCTCTCAGAGCAAGATTCTGAAGGAGAAAAAAAAAGAAACAGAGGAGCAGCAAGGCACTTGGATATGAACGCCAAAGGTTGCTTAACATTGTGTAGTAGAACGGACAGAGGTATAATAAATTAGAATAAATTCATATTATGTCTTGTTAGAGTGAAGTGAAGTCAGAGGCTCCATATTAGAGAATGTACTAATAAAGAACAACGAGTAGTGATGTTTAACAAGTTGGAGTAAGCTCACATGAAGGAAGGGAAGTCAAGGTTGGTACAAGGGAAGCGGTTTATTAGAAGGGTGTATATATAGAGGGTGAAGTGTTAAGAATACTAGTGACTATATCTTTTATTGTCTTTTTTCTTTTCTTTTTTTGTCCATCCGATGTTAGCCACGCAATCCTAGTGTAAAAGTCTGAGTTAGCATGTTATAGGTTGTCTTAGTAGAATAGCTAATCCAGCATATTATTGGAAACATGAGTCTGAGTGGTGAGCGTAGGAAGACAATCTATATCTTAGATTGACTGTCTTATTCTCAATTACAAAGAGCCTGATACATACAAAATGTTCTGTCCCCACAAACACGGGTGGATTGAAGTTATCGCCCTCACCATCAATGCTTGCTGGTCAGTAACTCCACCCTCCCTCCTTTTGTGATGTTAGGCTCATTTAAGCTTATTTTTGTATATACGTCATACCTCACACAATCCTCTGTTTCACAACTTGTTGGAAAGCACTATTTCTATAAGTACCATTTTACAAGCTTATCAGGCAGTTACAAGCTGTGGACTGTGGGTAAAGCATCGATGCAGTGCCTCTGTTGACTATAGTATAAAGTATAGTTTGCCAAACAGAGTATAAGCGTTAAGAAGGGTATATTGTAGGATAGTTGTTTATTTAAGCAGGCGGAAAAAGTATAGAAGTATGAGTTGTGGATAAGGGAACGAGTAGAGAAATAATATTAGTTGCTAGTCAACATTGTGTACAGAAGAGTAAAAAGTTAATATAGGATAAACAGGAAGGAACTCACAGTAACTTGGTGCTGATGTTATTTTCTGTTGTCTTAACCAGTTGATTGGTAACAGGTTCCATAGATGCAAGACCACTGGTAGTAGGCAGCCGATTGTCGGGTCCTCTTGACTTTTTAGGGTGGTAGTGATTGTCCCTTATCGACCGAGTTTAGTTTGACAGTAATGATAGGTCCAGTGAGTTACCTGTCTACTTCAAGTGAAGAAATGGGGTGGAAAAAGTAATTAATACAACTGCAAAGTAGGAAAAATAAGGCAAACTGAACTTGAAGTCCATTTTGGTCTAGACATGGAGAGAGCCTATGATGTCTGAGTGGGGTGCAGATGTGTTCGTACGTGCAAGATCAGTGCGAGTGAGGGCTTGATCAAGCAGTTTCACAAACGTATGTAGTTCATCCGCCATGCGAGTCTCGGAAGGAAGACTGTTCCATATTATTGCATACTTGGTGAGGAAGAAGTTTTCCCGAGTTTTTGATCTGTATTTCTCAACTTTGACCGTAGATACTTTGTTTCGAAGTTCGTATTCATGTGAATCTCGGGCAAGAATTATCTGACATGTTGAGTAAGTAAGGTTTTTGAGTAGTTTGAAGTAGAGAATCAAATTAGACCTAAGCCTTCTCTCCCAAAGGGGTGCTATTCCTAAGATTTGGCATCGAGAACTGTAGTCAATGACCGAGCCAGTCTTAAGTATTTTGCGGGTGAAGTCTCGTTGTATTCCTTCCACCTTTAGTATATCAGATAGACGTAGGTTGGAAAATAAGAACGAGCAGTATTCAACGATAGGTCTTACACAAACTTTGTAAAGAAGGATTTTAGATTCATTTTGATAGAAATTACGGAGAATGAAGCCAAGCAATTTCCGCATTTTGGATGCTTTGGCTGAGATGTGTTCAGAGAAATTAAGACTGTGTGAATAATGTACCCCTAGGTCAGTTACTGATGCCAGTCTGGGGAGTGCGTGATCGCTAATTGTTAGTTTCATTTTAAGAGACGTGTCTCCTATACATAACCAGCCGCATTTCTCTATGTTGAGCTCTAACCTCCAGCGTTTGCACCAGTCATCTACCATGTTGAGTTCATGTTGGATTGTTTGCATAGTACTGCGTAAATCGCAAATGTCAGTTTTATAGATGACTTTTAAGTCATCGGCATAGAGGTAGGTCTTACCTGTGCTGAAACACCTGCATATATTGTTGATGTAGATCATATAGAGCAATGGACCCAAGACACTACCCTGCACAACACCACTGGTTATCGGTCGAGGTGTAGATGTATTAGAGTTAATCTTGGTTATTTGATATCTGTTCGTAAGAAAAGACTTGATCCATTGCAAAAGGGGATTTATAATTCCAACTGACTTCAGTCTGTTGATTAGAAGATTATGAGGTACTTTACCAAAGGCTTTCTTAATATCGAAGTATAGTATAATAACTAGTTTCTTCTGGTCACGCATACGAGTAACCTCGTTAAAGAAGTCTATCAGGCATGTACTGCACGACCTTGTTCTAATGAAGCCGTGTTGTGACGGGTCTATTAGATCTTCCTTGAGTAGGTGATCAGATAGTTGATTTTGTATCACTTTTTCCATTATGCGTGATATGACTGGAGTGATATTTATAGGTCTGTAGTTTTCTACCAGGTTTCTCGGTCCGGATTTGTGTTTGGGTAGAACATACGTTACCTTCCAGGTTTCCGGATATGTACCTGTCTCTAAAGATAATGTGTATATTTTGAGTAGTAGCGTCTGTATGTCCGGCCCTGACATTTTATAAACGATTGAAGGGATGTCATCGGCACCAGAACTCGCATTTGGTTTAAGGGTTTTAATGGCGGTATGTATACTCATAATGTCGAAGTTTATGGTACTAAGATAGTTTTTGCCGGTGCACTTTATGTCGATATCTGGGGCATCAGATGTATTCCCATTGTGAGAAAACCATTCACTTAATAGTTCACATATGACGGTTTGGTCATTATACGTTACTCCATCGTGCAGTAAGGAGTGAATGTTGTTGTCTGTGTTCTTTCTTATGCGTTTCGTGAGGAGACGACATAGGGCTTGGGCTTTAGATGCAGCAGCGAGCGCAGTACGTTCCTCTACCTGTTTATGCTTGTTGTGTTGACTTTGTACTCCGTCAAGTACAGAGTATATCTGGTGCAGGGCACTGAAGTCTTTTGATATATAGTACATCCTTTTCAGTTTTCTCAGTTTAGACCTAGTCTTTTGGTTTATATAGGGAGTAACTGTTTTAAAACCAATTTTAGAGGGTATAGTGGTGTCTAGTGCAGATTTGGTGGTGATATTGAATATTTCTAATGTTTCTAAGAGGTTATTACTGGTAAAGAAACTGCCCCAGTCAGAGTGCTTTATTAGAAATCGAAAGTTTTCCCAGTCAGCGTTTGCATAGTCTCTATATTGGAATCGCGTTTTTAATGTCTTTAATTTGTTGCATATGGCAAGAATCGGAAGGGTGCAGAGGACTATTTTATGATCGCTGTTGTGAAACTTTTCGCTAACCACCATTGATGTTGGTGTGACACTATGACAGAATATCAAGTCAAGAATGTTGTGATTTCGTGTAGGCAGGTGTATATGTTGTTGCCAGCCGTGTATGTCTAAGGACCTAAGTATGCTTTCAAAGCACAATGGGCCAGAATGTGTCTTCCAGTTGATGGTGGGAAGGTTGAAATCACCACATACAATTTTGTATGTGAAGTCAAGCAAGGCAGCCTGAGCAAATGACTCACTTATAATAGTGTCAGTTGAACTAGGAGTGTTAGGAGCTCGATATATGCATCCGATTAGTATTTTACATTCATGAGTGTGCACAGTAAGCCATATCGATTCAGGAAGTTTGCTGAGGACGTGGTCGCTATAGGTTTCCGCTCTCAAATTTTTTGATACATAGACGAGACAACCACCACCCTTCTTGGTGACTCGATCACAGCGGAAGAGCTCATAGGTGTCTATTTGTAGAAATGTGTCTGTGGTATCGGAGGACAGCCAACTTTCCGTTATCAAAACAAGTGAGGGGTTGTTTAAAAGCAATAGGGTGCGTAGGTAAGTCATCTTACTTTGTACAGATCTAGCGTTGATTAACATAAGTGTCAGGTACGGTGACTGTTTGTCTAGTAGAAGGGTATGATGTAAACCGAGTGGTTTGTCTGTTTTGCCCTGAGAAAAGGAAGAATTGGGAGCGTTGACTCCATATTGATGAGTGTTTAGTTTATTACCATTAGGGTTAATGCAAGAAGGGTAGTCGGGTGTGGTTTTGGTGAAAGAAGTATGTCTAAGAGTGGAAGGTAGAGTCGAATGATTAGGTAATGTGTCCGGGGAATGATCAGGGGGTTCAGTCAAGGAGTTTTCAAGACTAGAAACAGTTATCGAAGTTGAGTAGGATGTGCTACTCCCCATTAAATCGGAGTATATAGATGGTTTCAGAATAGTGGGATTGTCGCCCTCAACATTTGGAGACCTCATAGCAGTAATGTTGAGGAAGGGAGAGATAAAAAAGGATGAAATAGTGTGTATGTCGAATTAGGGGGGACTAAACCGTTGTATTGGGTGGCTTGACTTGGATAGTACCTAGAATCTGTAGGTGGGTTCCCAAGTAGGCCAGCGTTATGGCTTCCTCGTGTGCGGTTGGCAATTTTAGTCCTATTGTGGTCAGTTGGGGAGGTTGTATGTTTCTGGTAAGGGATGAAGGAATGCCTGTTATTGTTGCCAGGAGAGGTGTTTCTGTTGTGTATAGTTTTGTGTTGGTTCATGGGGCTTACAAGGTTGACACCATATGACTTATGGGTATCACGTGTGGGTGTGGTTCTTGTCGAGTGTCGTTTCACATTAGGATGAGCGGGTGTTGCCAGTTCTCTATGTTTGTTGTAGGGCATTCTATTACTATGAGAAGGTGCATGTTTTGGGTTTGGGGTGCTGGAGTATTGGTGGGTTTTTACGGAGAGTTTGGTATTTTTTCGCACAGCGGTGTCCGCGGGTCTGTAGCTGTTAGCGCGATCCCTGGGAGGATCATTTTTAGGCATTTTATAAGGGCCGCTAGGGTAATACTTGGACGCTATTGAGGCATAAGTGGTTTGGCATTTTGGGGTAGCTGAGTGTCTGGGCTGAGGGTGAGTGGTTGTAGCTGCTTTATGTGCGGTCTTGTCCTTAGGACTAATAGCAGTGTCCGACGTGCCTCCGTTTTTTTGGGGGGCAGTGTATGATATTTTAGGGTTTGTGCAGTGACAAGAGCTGTAGCTGCCACGGCTACGTAAGCTGGGTTGATCAGTTTGTGTTCCATTGCAGATTCGACGCTGGATAGCGGTCCTGTCATGAATGATCCTAATCTTTTTAAATGTTGGAATACGCCTCAGTAATGACTGACTATTGAGGAGGTGATTAGCTTCAGTGGTGCTACCAAACTGAAATAGAATGGGACAGGAGGCTTTAGTGTGTGCCTTACGTAATCTTCTTGTTACACACCAAGATTGCGACAATCCACATTCTTGTAGCAGAGTATTTTTAGCAGTCTTTATGTTCGTACTATCAGGTATATTATACACAATAACATTCTGCATACACTGAAGTCTTTTCAACACTTCAGATGATATATGGTCAATTACTTTTTCAGTGTTTTTTATAATTTCCAGATCGGGATTTTCTGGAACACTGATTAAATATTTGTAAGGTAATAGGTCTTGAATAGTTTGGGTGAGGCTAAGTTCTGTTTGGCTGCTTTTAGGTCTACTAGTGGTGAGATTATCGGAGTTTATATCAAAGTTTCTAAGGTCGATATGGTTACATACAGGCCTGTTGCAGGTGTCTAGCGGATGTTCACTTTGTGCACACTTAGTTGGGGGATGGGGTATATGTCTGGGTGAGTAGTCAAGATCTACATCACCGGGCTGGCTATTGTAGGCAGGCTTACATGTACTCCGTGGGCCGCTACTCAGGATGGCCGATTGTGAGATTGCTGGGTGTTTGGGATCAACAGCACTGTCTAAATACTGCTCACAACATGTGGTGTTTTTGTTTGGACTGACAAATGATGTCGACTCTAACGGTATGTGACTGCTCTTATTTATATCGACAAGCGAGATGCAAGGTAGTAATATGTCTTGTCCAAGTAAACGGTGCACGTTAAGTGTGGCTGAGGGAAGATCAGAGTAGGATGCAGACTGATCAGTGTGTTTATAAGGTTTCACATTATTCGCTTTAGTGACTGATTTAGATCTTTTGCAGGTGCTATAGGCATCAGGAGAGATTATATGTTTTTTAGATGGCCTGGTCATTATCGGAAGTAATGTAAATACAAAGTTTAATTAGGTGGACAGTGATAGTTGTAATTTAACTTAGTGAACGTGTGAAGTTTTATGGTAGGATCAGACCCAGTATTAGTTAAGAGTAAATATATTAACGTTAATTGGTGATAGAGATAGCGTGAGAATTAGCAAGATTAATTTATGACGTTGAGCTCCTAAATAAGGTGTCAAATTGATAGAACCCTATCAGTGACGCATTATTTATCGCTATTAAGTGTTAAATTAAAGAGAAAAACTAATAGGAAAACAAAATAATACCACGTGAAAAAAGTTACAACCTTCAAAAGCGCGCCGAAACGAAAACTACGCTTTTCAGTGTAGCTAACAAAGCGTTTTTGAGTGAATCATATTAAGTTATATGAAAACATAATTTCTCACTCTACACCTTCCTGACTTAATGAATAAAACCAATTACGTAAAAATACTAAATGCCTCAAACAGTGCAGCCAATGTTATACGGTCAAATGTTTCTCCATCACAAAATAGCGTGATAAATGGCGAAAAGAATGATGGGAACATAAATGTTTGGCGCCTAAAAGTCGGTGAGTATTCCCAACAAGATGGTATCTATTACCCGTCCATAAGGGTTCGAGTAACGTCACCGGCATTCAATAAAAGTTAAGCAGTCAGCAACTGAACCAAGTCGTAACCACAACCTTATCGCCAATGGTCAGGCAACGTGCAACACCGAAGTTGAATAATAAATGTAAACGTCTGACCAGAGTCTAAGAATAGAGGTATGGAGCAAGAGGACCTCAGAACACCTAACATGGTCACGGTAGACGTGAGTAAAATTTAAAATACCAAACAGGCGAAATGGACAATCAAATAATAATATGGTTCAATGAAATACTTTGAAGAGAACTTCAGAGTATTCTTTCCATTATTATTATTCTCCCTTTGCAACCAAAAGTGTCCAGAAACCCTACTACCCTGGGAAAAATGCACTCACTCAAATACAAGGCAAATGGCTCCACTAATATTAGTGCAGTTGATTTGCTGGACTGTCACTCAATGGACATAACCAAATACCTGGAACCGTAATAAAACCACAAGAAGCGAGTGCAAAAATATAAAAGATATTGTATATTGAATTATTTTATAACTAGGGGCGTTTCGTGATTGGCTGGTGCGTCACTTTGGGTCAACGCCCCAGGGGTATCACGGCACTTTTTGCGTTACTTTTTCATTTCTGCTTTTTGCACAGGTTAGATCCGTCCGTAGACCAAATGTCAGAAGGAAGATTTATTCATTGGATATCTCGTGGTATCGAGAGAATACTGAGATCGTGCCAAAGCTTGCAAGCGTGACTACTGAGCGCACACGAGTTCGTGCAAGGCCACGGACAACGGGAGAATGTGTGTTTTTGGTACACTTAAACAAGCAGGTGCAGTAAAATAACCACTGGTACAATTGGTTATAATAATAATTGTTTCCATTAAACCAACCGCATTCTCTTCATAAAAGTAGGTCACTGCACATGGAAAACGCGTACTCGCACGTGAATTGACATCTACCTCTTGGATTAGCTTAGTTTGATGCATGTCTTATAAATTACTAAGGCTATCATAAATACATAACCAGCAACTAATCCCTATCTCTCACAATATCATCTCCCCCCTCTCAATCTTTTAATTATGTCTTCCTACGCATCATCGATTGAGTAAATTATTCTTTAAACAATTATTCACTCCTGGCACTTCAATTATCACTGCAACGACCGAAATTCCAGTATTTGGTCTTAATGTAGAACTAACAAACGAATGTTGGTTCGATCAGGCCAAACTACGCTTTTCAGTGTAGCTAACAAAGCGTTTTTGAGTGAATCATATTAAGTTATATGAAAACATAATTTCTCACTCTACACCTTCCTGACTTAATGAATAAAACCAATTACGTAAAAATACTAAATGCCTCAAACAGTGCAGCCAATGTTATACGGTCAAATGTTTCTCCATCACAAAATAGCGTGATAAATGGCGAAAAGAATGATGGGAACATAAATGTTTGGCGCCTAAAAGTCGGTGAGTATTCCCAACAAGATGGTATCTATTACCCGTCCATAAGGGTTCGAGTAACGTCACCGGCATTCAATCAAAGTTAAGCAGTCAGCAACTGAACCAAGTCGTAACCACAACCTTATCGCCAATGGTCAGGCAACGTGCAACACCGAAGTTGAATAATAAATGTAAACGTCTGACCAGAGTCTAAGAATAGAGGTATGGAGCAAGAGGACCTCAGAACACCTAACATGGTCACGGTAGACGTGAGTAAAATTTAAAATACCAAACAGGC